GTTTAGTTTGATGTTTCATCCTGGGAGACTCTTCACCTACGGGGATAATGGTCTTTGATTTGCATTCTTGGGAAGAAGAACGTTTGGGAATCGGAGATATTGCTCCCATTAGGCACCTAGCATTATTTCTATTAGGTAAAATGGTGACTTAGATAGAGCCCCATGCCTTCCAGGAGCTTCTAATCTCATTGGAAAGATGGGATACACCACTTTCTCATTGGAAAGTGGTGCTAATTATTCTGTGTGAGATTATGAAGAATGGAGATGAAAAGTGTGAAACTGGGTTGGAAAAGCCCAAATCATAGACTTCATGGTAAAGCAAAGTTGTCATCAGTACCTGGGGCACTAAATACAGCAACTATAAGAATCCCTTCTAGTTATTCCTAAAAATATTGCATTTGAAGAATGTTGGCGAGAGGTGGTCTCATCCTGCCAGCTGAGAGAGGGCTAGGGATCCTTTCCCATGCTACAGTTCAGGCTTGGACAAGTTCCCAGCATGCTCTAGGAATATATGAGAAAAGAGCAGGACCGTGTGAGTCATGAGAGGAAACATGAAGACCAGAGTCTGGGTAGAACTTCCTCTGAAGCCCAAATAGGGCAATTTCAAGAGTCACCTTTCTTCAGCATTAGTCTTGGGGTTAAAGCACAGTGCAGGCTCCTTGGCCTGGACTCATGCAGCTCCCACTGCCCCTTAGGGATGAGATCCAGCATGTTCCTTGAGAAAGAGGTCTTGGCTGCCTCCGCCTCTGGCCCTATGCCCCACATTTCCTGCACAGAGGAGCAGTGCCATAAATATCTGCTAATTTCATTGTTTAAGTGGAGAGCTTGTGGAAAAGATAAATCTGAAATGAAGCCATAAATGCAGAAGAAGGGTCACGAGCCTCTTGCCTTTCTCAGATGCTGGCTCGGGCCAGGCTGGCAACCTCAGAGTCATCTGCGAGAGCTGGAAACAGTAACCGGGCCCAACAGTGGGAGCTCTGATGCAGCGGGCCTAAAGGGAGACCCCAGGGTCTGCATTTTAATAAACAGTGAATTGTACATTTATGCACAACTGGAATAAACAGTTTAGAAAATGTTTTCTCTATTTTTTTTATCAATGTCAAGAAACTTTAATATACATACTATTCAAACCCATGATTCCATAAATCCACTTCTTGTCAAAAATTCTATTGAAATGATAAAAAATGAAATCATAGATTATGAACAATGATGTGTATAGTAATTCTACGTATACTGATCTATACACGTCCAATATGCAAGAAAGGATAGCTACACTATAGCAGGTTCATAAGATAAAATATTTGGCAACTAATAAAAATAATGGTTTGGAGGATCTTTGATAACATGATAAAATTTTCATGATACATAACAGAATTAAAATTTTAGATAGAAAACTTGGAGTCATAAGATTTCACCATTGTAAATATCACCCAATATCTGCATTTTTAAAGTGATTCTGCTCCCCGGCTACATTCGGGAACAACTTCCCTGCGGTCGCCACCCTCCACGATGGCCCCAGCGATCTCCACCTCCCGCGTTCACTCCCTCGGGTAACCTCCTCCCACACTGTACACAATTGTTTGGTGTGACTAACACAATACAGCAGAAATGAAGGGGTAGCACTTCCGAGATTAGCTTAGGAAATACTGTGGCTTCTAAGTTTTGCTCCTTCTCTCTTTCTCTTTTAAGCCACTCACTCTGGAGAAAGACATGTCTTAAGGAAACTTAGGCAGCCTGCGGAGAGGGCCAGAGGGCCCCCGCTGACAGCCAGAAAGAAACTAGAGCCTGCCAACAACTACATGAGTCAACTCGGGAGAGGATCTCCCAGCCCCAGCAGCCCGACTGCAACCTCATCAGAGCCTGAGCAGAATCGACCAGCTAAGCCACTCCTGGATTCCCAACCCTACGATCTATGTGAGATAATAAAAGTCTGTTGTGTGAAGCTGCCAAATCCGGGTGGTAATTTGTTACATAGCAACTGATAGCTAATACATGTCCCTAGTCCAAAGGGCAAGCTCCCGAACATAGCACAGAAGGCCTTTCATGCCCACCTTTCCAGTTGCACTTCTCATGACCCCCAGATTCACAGTTTTCTTGAGCAGTACTGGCCTGCTTATCCCCAGTTCACACCTCCATGCCTCTGTGCCTTTGCCCAAGCCATTCCCCACCGATGCCCTTTCCCCACTGATGGCATCCCCTTCTCCAGAAATCCTCCCTCAACAGCCCCCACACCAAATCATGTTGGCTTGGTCCCACTCCTTAGTGCTCACACACTTCTTGAAATCAGTAAGTGAAAAGTGAGCTACTCGTAGAAAAGGAAACAACTGCCCGACCAGTGTGGCTCAGTGGTTGAGTGTCGACCCAGGGCACATGCCTGGGTTGCAGGCTCAATCCCTAGTGTGGGGTGTGCAGGAGGCAGCTCGTTAATGATTCTCTCTCATCATTGATGTTTCTATCTCTTCCTCTCTTCCACCCTATGAAAACATATTAAAAAGAAAACATCCACATGAAGGAGTCCTCAAGAACACGACTTGCCTCTACGTGGTTGATCAACGAATTGTCGAATTTGAACCCAGGAATCCTTTTCTCACTGCACACCACACCCACGTCTTCTGTGTGCTTGCAGTCGGTGACACCCCAGCCATTGGAGGAGCAGGCTGCGAGGGTTGCCTCTTTGCCGGTGCAGTAGACATTGTCCAACCAGATGGGCCCTGAAGGAAGCAGAGAAGGGAAACACCAATCGTGATGTCAGAGTAGGTTTGAATTTGGGGGGGGGCACCAAAGTTGTACACAGAAAGAGAATTTTTCTCTAATCTTGGCAGCTGTGTGTGGTCATCAATTGATGTTTAGCATGTTAAGATATTGCACATAGTTCACCATCTGGATTCCCTTGCCAGAGGGACGTGGTATATTGAACATGATCAGGGTAGAAATCAGCGTTGAGACCGGATGTGACATGGTGTAGGGCAGTGGTCGTCAAACTAATTAGTCAACAGAGCCAAATGTCAACAGTACAACGATTGAAATTTCTTTTGAGAGCAAAATTTTTTAAACTTAAACTATACAGGTAGGTACATTGTTACTAACTTAATTAGGGTACTCCTAAGCTGGC